GTACGGGTACCCGGTTATATCCGGTTCTACGGATGCGGTTATCTCAACCCCCTCTAAAAATCGAACTTGGGTCCATTATAGTCCCCCTCCAATCCTGACTCAAATTATAGACCACAATTTGCCCTTTCCAAAATGGTGCGACATGTGGCTTTCTTCTTTAGAAGAAAGTCTTCAATCTACACAAAAAAAAAATCTATTTAGAAGAAGTTTCTGTAAAAACGATCAGATTTACTGGAATTTTTTTCCAGGGGTAGGTTTTTTTACTCTAATTTTCGGGATATATTTTTCGTCCATATCTCGGGAACGATGGACTTCCCTATATTTTCGCGATCAGAGTGTAAAGACTTACCTGGACTTAAGTCGTCTATACAAAGGCGGATCGCTTTAAATATTAAATATAATGCAACATAGGCGGTGTTGGCCATAGGAGATTTGGAACAACTCCAGTTTGGTAAAAAGGATCAGATTTTTCTGAATTTTTTTCCTGAGGATATGTTTTCTTGGGGGACATATGTTAAGACTTACCTGGACTGAAGTTTAGACAAATGCGGATCGCTTTAAAATTTTTAATACCTATATTTTTATGTTGCATAGCCGGTGTTGGCCATAGGAGATTCGTAACAACTATAGTTTAGTCAAAAGGATCGGATTTTTCTGATTTTTTTCCAGACCTAGGTATTTTTACCCTTATTTTCGGCATATATCTTTTCTTGGGGGACGTAAGTCAAGACATACTTGGACTAAAGTCGTCTAGACGAAGGCGTATCGCTTTAAAAAATTTAATATATTTTTTATCCTAATTTTCGGGATATATTTTTACTTTGTAGACGTACCCGATTACCGGGTTATACCCTTTTATACGGATCCGATTAATACAAAATGGGTATCTGTCCATAGGAGAAAGTCTTAAATTCGAGGCCGAAGGGCGACCACAAATGGATTTTAATGTCATACCTTTGGATCCACAACAAAGGGAAATGTAGTGAAGAGTCATTTGAGTCAGGATTGGTGAGGGACTATAATAGACCCAAGTTTGAATTTTAGTGAGTTTTTCAAAAAAGGGTCCAAAACCCAGTTTTTCCCAAACGTTGAGATAACCCCTTCATATCTGGTATGACCGGTTACCCGGTCAAATAACCGGATATCCCCAAAATTTGGATAAAAAGGTCATGAAAAGGGCAAATTGTAGTCTATCATGTGAGTCAAGGTTGCTGATGGAGCTGATGGATTTTCATGAGCTTTGAAATTTGTATTAATCGGATCCGTAGAAACGTGTATAACCGGGTATCCGTACACGTACTTCCGGGTCAAATAGTCGGGTAACCGGATATCCCCAAAATTAGGATAAAAATACCTACCTCTGAAAAAAATTCCCAAAAAAAATCATCGACATATGCCTATTAGAGAAAGTTCCCGGGATCTTTTTGAATTATGTTTTTTTTTTTTTGAAAGATTCATATCTTCATCTAAGAATTGATGGAAAATTGGGCTATTGCTATATAAAGGTTGCCACCCCTTTGCGTCCTTTTTAATGCGTCATTGTGAAATCGAAATAATAACCAAAATTGTAACTAATTTTAGTAAAAAAAAATTCTAAAAACGGTGCTAGGTGCTAGATCGTTTTTAGGTGCTAAACGAGTTTGAAAAGTGCTAAATATAGCATTTAAAGTGCTAAATTTGCAACACGGCTTGGGGGCTGACATTTTGTACACCAATGCCATTTGTCAATCGTCAGGTCAAATTCTCAAAGAATTTTCCAATCAAATTGGCTGCAATTTAACTTTTATGTAATTCATATAAAGTAGAAGACGTCCTCGGAATTTGTGGGAGTATGTCATTTTTAGTCAAATAAATCCAACGATTTGAGATTTAGAGGAAGGATCACATTTAAATCAGATCGTGTGAAGTAAATTTTTATGATTTTAATCACGTAGTTTCTAGATGTAAAATTCTAAGAATAAAAACGTGAAAAGTGGCGTATTTTTATTAAAAACGTTATTTGTGACAAAGCGTTTACAAATCTCTATCTTTAATCAAATCTTTCAAATATATGTACACTTTTCCTAGTTAAAAAATCTAACTATTTGTCTTAGAAGTTTGGCTGCTTTGGATGGTATGCTAATTATGGGTTCGATACTGTTTTCACAGCCACTTTGCATAGATATTCTTCTTCTTTTTATTAATATTTTAATTTCAAAGCGTACAAAAATCTCTCTCTTTAAAAAATAATATTAAAAAAAGGATAAACCTATAAACAAATTTCCTCTTTAAAAAATCCAATTTTTTTTACTTAGCACTTTGGCTGCTTGAGATGGTATGCTAATTATGGTATCGCGATACTGTTTTCATAAAGTAAGTCAATTCTCATTATTAGCTAATGACAGCCACTTTGCATAGATCTTCCTCTTCTTCTTTTTAATAATATTTTAATTGCACTGCTAATTCTATTACAGCAAAAAAAAAACGACAAATAAAAAAATTGAACTAAATATGATGCTCCCAATAAATACTGCAGAAAGAAAAGTTTGTAGTAGTAATCCCCCTCCCCCACCAGATCAGTTCATTCACATCAAGAGAAGGGGAAACCAAAACACTGTTGAAAAGTTGTTTTGTTGTTGTTCTTTTTTATATTTGTAGTGGTGGTGTTATTTTATTTTTTTGGCTTGTGCCGTCGCTCTTGTCATTTGCTTTTATTCTTCTGATGTTGTTGTTGGTTTTTTAATATTGGTTACTTGTGTGTTTGCTCTTTCGCCATAGTTATTAAAGCTAAGCTTGCTACTACGAAGAGATTATTTGTTATGTAAAAAAAAACACTAAATAAATGTGTTTAACTAAAGAAGAAGAATAAAAAATTCACAAAGATTTTTTGTATTTGGTGCCAGCCAGCAAATGCAATGCAATATTTATGCATTTTACAAATGACACGACGAGTGCCGTCGAATGAGCTGCCTGTCAAATTGCTGAAACAGTGTTGTCAACATTCTGTAAAAAAATTAAAGGGAACAATGTATTAAATCAGTGATGCTCATAATACTTGCATTGACATTTGTATGTTACTCTCCTGCTATGCTATACTAACGGCAAATTTAAATTGAGAGAGAATATGTGTGGTTTGTTGTCACGAAAACGTAAAGGGTTGAGCAACACTGTATTAAATTATCATTGTTATTAGATGAGATTTATTTTGATACAAACGTTGCAATTTGGTATGTGGGTTAGCACCCGTGTTGCCAATTTAGCATTTTTAATGCTAGGTTTAGCACTTTTTAAATTCTTCGTTTAGTGATCTAGCACCTTGTTTAGCATTTTTTTCTGAAATTAGTTAAAATGTTGGTTATTATTTCGAATTCACGTTGACACATTAAAATGTCTCTAAGTTTCACGCTATGGACATGATTTTCCAATGTTAAAAAAAGGATCAGTACATCTGTAAAAATATAAAAAGTCTTAAAGTTCGGCTGGTGAGAACTTTTTATATCCTGGACCATTTTTTGAGTATATTTTAATATACTCCACATTGTATATTAAAATATTCTCAAGAAATGTTTGGGTACTCCATATGGTTACTATATCATATCCTGCTAGAACATTGTTTACTCGGTAAAATGAAAAAAGAGCTATGTAAAAATCGTGAACCTAATTGGGAAACTTTCTGGAAAGGAGTTTTTTATTCAAATTTTAGCCACTTCAGAGTATCGATAAGATTTTATATTTTTTGTCAAACTGTAAAATTGTTCTTTCTTTGAGGCTAAAATAGATAAAGTAGGCATTACTCTATTCATATTTTCATATTTTGCATTTTCCGAATGTTAGCTGTACTGTACAAATTGTTGCCAATTTTGATAAATTTTACAGATTTTCTTTAAAAATTTTAAACTGTAAATGATTTTATCGGTGATTAGCTTCCTTAATTTAACGAAAAATAGTAAAATCTATTAGATTCTTGCAGTACGGAAACAGACCAATACTACATTTAATCAAAAACGTTGTGTTGACAACATTGTCTGAAAAAACCCCACCATACTGTTATAGTTCAACTGCAGCATAACATTTGTATAGGACTCTTGTGAATAACAACATAAAATGGGAAGATAATATAAAACAAAACATTGAATGAGAGAGGTAGGTAAGCAGGCCTGCAGGCTCCCCATCAATTGTGCATCCATTACCAAATACATATATTCACATTCTCTTTTTGTTGCTTGCTCTCCACATTGCATAGAACAACATAAGCTGCTGACAGACGATAACAGCTAGCGAGCTAGCAAACATTCATTGAAGCCAACAACATTCAAGGCGGTTGCTTAATGTTAATGTTAACTCACTCACTCTTCTGTACAGAGTTGTGTGATGTGATGTGAGTGGTGAGCGAACAACGACGAACGAAACAACACAGACAAGTGGGAAAAACTACGACAAAAATAATATAAAGATTTATTATTTACTTGGTATAATTATTATGTTCTTTCTTAAATCAACCATTTTCCAAAGAATATGATGCAAGGAATGTGAAATATATATATTGAAGTGTGAAAAATTGAAAATGAAATAAAATGAATTGACAAATGAAATTAATGTGTAAATCCATTTCAAATGAAGATGAAAAGTGGTGGCTGGCCAAAGAGCATGATGGAACGAACAACAAATTGAAAAAGGAAAAAAGAATTGCAATGTAAATACAAACAGACACACACACACATGCGCGCATATTGATGAAAAAATACGGTCGCCGCCTGGCTGGCTATATGAAAATTAATTCAAGAATTGTAAAATATAAAATAATAATATTTTTTCTTTTGTTTGTGTATTTATTTAATATAATTTTTTTATTGTTTTATAGGAATAATTGCCTGACGTTTATTTGGCAAATGTGAAGAATATACCTCCATATAGCCGCAAAAAACAATCTTCATATTATTTGTGCCTGGGGATTGTTGCCACCGTTGTTGTCGTCGTCTTGAGTTTTATCACATGTATTTTGTTGCCGTATCGACGATGTCATGAAAATTTTGCAAAACGAAACTGCAAGCGCAACGGCAACGAATGACAACGTTACGGAAAAGGAAAAACTCCAACATCCGATTGTAGTTGAAAAGCGTAAAGCAAAAACGTTAAAGAATAAAATATTGCAAAATGTTGCCGAACAACAGCAGCAGCAGCAGCGGCAACAGCATCATCCGAGTGTCACAGCACCATCACCACCTGGGACCGTGTCATCAGCAATAGCAATGACAGATGAGCTGACATCAACAAAAACACCGTCACCACCAACTACAACAACAACAGGGGATTGTAATACTTCGTTAAAAAATTTAGAAGACAAAGATTCCGATGCTATTAGCAGTAACAATTCGAACAGGAGTACTAGCAATACTACAACAGCAACAAATAGTAGCAACAGTGATTTAATAATTGCCGAAGCAGCAAAAATTCTATTAAAGAATGGCTTAAATGGTACCAATGCCGCTGCAGCTGCTGCTGTTGCCACAGCCACTGCAACCCTTCTAACTGCGGCAGCTAATTTTCAGCTGCCACAGCAACAACAGCAGCAAAATCTAGAGTCCTCAACATCATCTACATCTCCTACGTCGTCGCCGTCTTCGTCGTCAACAACGCCTGCTGCCAATGCCACTGCTGCTGCTGCAGCCCATGCTGCACATTTAGTGGCCATAGCAACGGCTGCTGCTGCGGTAAATGCCTCTAATATACATCATCATAAACGTTTGACCAATACATTGGCTGCCTTGAATAGTTCTGCATTTAACAACAACAATAGTTCTTCTTCTTCTTCTTCTGCGTCTTCAAAAAATTCCTCATCGACAAATCAACAATTGAACAATGGCTCATTGCTGGGATCTCCAAATTCAACGTCAACGAAATCATCAGCGGCAACACCCGCATCTAGTACTGCCGCCTCCACCACCACCAGCACCACCACAGCTACATCGCAATTTGCCAAACCATTTAAATCTTCTAACCAGAAGGGTAGTTGCGGTAACGCCAATACAACAACAAACACAATGTCAACAGTATCCTCCATTGGTGACTTGGGTGTTATTGATTATACGGTAAACTCATCGTCGTCAAGTAGCCAAAATAACAACAACCACAATACCAATTCCTCCTCGTCATCTGCGATTATAAATCTATCTTCATCTGCAAATACCAACAACTCTGGTAGTCATCCTCATCATCATCATCATCATAAAATTTTCCATAATAACAATACGCATCAATATAATCGTTCAGATATTGGCAGGAATCCGATATCTTCAGCAAATAACAATAATAATAATCATTTTCATAATGCCAAAACCAATGTTAGTGGCGGTGGTGGTGTTGGAGGATTTGGTGGTGGACGTTTACAATTTTTTAAAGGTATGTAATTGAAAATTATTAAGGATTGGGTTCATTCCTTTTTGAACAATGATGGTACACCCACTAATAAAACATAACATTGTTCAAAAAGAAAATGTCCAATGCCAACCCATTAACTCCTCCTTCTAAAAATATTTCTTCTTCATTTTTTTTTTTTTTTTTGCAGATGGCAAATTTATTTTGGAACTAGCACGTTCCAAAGATGGAGAAAAAGGCGGTTGGGTTTCGGTTCCCAGAAAAATATTTCGTACACCATCAGCAGCAACGTCATCAACTGTTACTCCAACAGCAACAGCCCCAACATCTGGCGGAGTAATACCATCGCCATTATTACACGCTTCTCCAGCATCGATAATCGGCTGCGGTGGTGCTGGTGGCGCCAATGGCGCCAATAATGCCGCGACCGGCGTTTCCTATACTAAGAACGAATGTTCCAATTCATTAAGTTGTACGTATAATTAAAGTGGTTTGAATATAGTCAACAATTATCGTTTTCTTTTGTTTTCATTTTTTTCAGTTTCCGATGACAATAGTTCCCTACAATCTTCACCATGGCAAAGAGATCATGGCTGGAAACAAACGGCGCCACACAAAAATATTTCAAAGGAAATGTCGCTATTTTATCACAAGCCCGCATATCGAAAACTTACAACTCCGGCTCTCTTATTGGCACAGAGAAAACGTAGAAATCCCTACAACATGATAACATTGGAACATGGTGAATCATTATTTGAAGCCAAGAGAAAAAATAGTAGTGATGATGATCGATCGCTTCAGCCTCTGGAAACATTGGATAATCAAACTCAACAATCACCAAAATATACGCAAGATGTGGAGGCGAAAGTTGAGCCACGTGAAAATGAAAATTACTGCAATCAAGAATCTAAAGGCGGCATAGCGGATGAAGAAGAAAAGGCAAACACCAAACACCATGCAAATGATGAAGAGATGAAAACAAATGATGACACCAGGAAAACTGCTGATGATCAAACGGGGGAAAATGCCGAAAATTCAGAAAGAAAAATCTCAAATGAATGTTGTGAAGATGTGGAAATGTCCAAGATATCTTCTTCATCCATTAAGAAAGAGGATTCGCCGTCAAGTCGTGAGACGGAAAACAAAAACCAATCTGACGATGGTAACCAAGAAAAGGACGTGGTGGAAAAAATGAATACCAGTGACTGCGAGGCAGATATTTTGACGACGATGGAATCGTCGAAGAAATTATCATCATCATTAAATGGTAATATCCCAAATGAAGATTCCAGCGGTAATCATGTTCAAGGAACTGTGTTGCCAAACAAAGACGAAATACAAACAAAAACCGAATGTCGTCAGAAATCAGGAGACGAGGAAAAAAGACTTAAAACGACGGAAAGTAATAAATCAAGAGCCAAGCTCATTTCAATCGTACAAAAGCTTATAGATGCTTCTGCATCTCGAATAGCAGAGACTGGTCCTCCTCTATCGAACAAAACCATAAACAACCAACAACAACAACATTCGCCACCAACACCGTCGGTCAATACTAATAACGGCGCAGCTACTGGTGGTGGAGGAGTAGATGGATCCCATAAACATTTCCAAAGTTCCAAAGTATCTCCGCCATCTAATACAGCCGCTTCACGTCTAGTCGAATATCACCAACAGCATGTGTCACCACGAAAACGTATACTAAGAGAATTTGAAAAGGTATCATTGGAAGATAATTCCACAACTGCTGCTGGCGGTAAAAGAAGTCGTGCCAAAGGCAGCAACAACACCAATGTCAATATGACAACCGGTTGTGGGACTGGCAATGTTCAAAATATGACATCATCATCATCATCATCATCGTCATCGCCCATCAGCAAATCATCATTTCCAGCTAGTTATAATGTCCACAACAGTTCCAACACCGGCACCGGCATTAGATCATCAGGGACAAGTGCCGCAAGCACAGCATCTTCAGCTCCCACCAAACTATATAGCTCATACAGTATACATTCCCTATTGGGAGGAAATTCTTCAAGTTCTTCATCTTCGTCTCCGTCGTCGTGCAAGAAATCACATGATTTACCAGCAACCATAACAAGCAATTCTATGGGATATTCATCATTAGCATATCAACATTCACCTGCTGCTTCATCATTACCGCCTCATCATTCGCCAAAATCCCCAGATGGTGGTCATCAAGCGTCAACATGTGGCGGTAAATCTCCTTCTTCCTCGAAATTGAAAAGGTCTCCGCCATACAGTTCGCCCATGCGAGAAACACATTCAAGAAGTCCTAGCGCCAACTCGACACATAGCTATGATTATGGCCGACGATCACCTAGACTAATGACAGACATCTATAATAAGATGAAATATTCTGGAGTACATGAAAGTTCGGCGGGTTCATCTCCGCACCATCAACCACAGCCACCGCCACAGCAACATTATCAACATCATGTTCCGCAAAGTTTTTATTCGCCCTATATGACTTCACCACATTATGTTCCACCAGCGTCGTCAACATTGTCTGCCGCCGCTAGCACCCTTTCTTCCCCATCGACGGCGTCGACATCTTCGACAAGCACAACGTCGACTACTAATAGTTCCCGTTCACCACGTCACCATTCTTCCGCCTTTAGAGCAACCACACCAACATCATCCACCACCGGCGGTGGAAGTCATCTTCATCATCAACAGCAACAACAACATAACATTCCAACGACTCCACGGGGGGATTTATCTCCGCAGCGATCAACGACAGCTTCACCTCGTGAAACTACACCTCGTACTGTACCAAAAAAGACTGCTTCAATACGACGACAATTCGCTTCACCAACCACCACTACAACGAGTAATAATCATAGTAGTTGTCCGTCACCTTCTTCCGAAAATCGTGTTGAAGACAACGATCGCCGGACACCTGTATCACACCATCAACAACATCAGCAGCAGCAACAGCATATGTTGCACCGCTCCTCGCCTAGCAGTGCGGCGGCGGCATCAAATATGCAGACATCACCCATGCATCCGTATTCGTACATTTATGGACCTGGCACAAATAGTCCACATCATTCTACATCTGCTGTTTCGCCTACAACAGCAAATAATTCATCTGCAGCAGCAGCCGCCGCCGCTGCGGCAGCCGCAGCTGCTTCATACATTCCAACCGTTGTAGGATCTCCCTATTATCATCCATATATTTCTACGTTGGCGGCAATGCGTCATCCACAAATGTGGATGCAACACTATCAAAATGCTGCTGCAGCCGCAGTTGCAAATCCTGCTCTGCTACAAGCATCTCGACATCCTGGCATGTTATCAGCGGCGGCGGCAGCAGCAGCATCACGTATATCGCCACCGTATCATGGTTTTCAATATAATGGTGTAAGCAATGCAGCCGCATTGGCAGCTGCGGCTGCTGCCGCTGGTTTCGGTAGCACGTCAGCGGCTACCCCACCACAACACCACTCGGGCAGTGTATTACAACCACCGCCGCCGCCAGGATCAATGTTTAATCCAACGGCTCATGGCATGACGACGGCATCGTCATCGTCACATCCAGCCGCCATGCATGCAGCAGGTTTAGTCCCCGCGACAGGCATTTCATCATCGGCAGCAGCACCGCTACCACAGCCAACATCAGCTACGACATTAGGTCCAGCACAACCAATGACTGATACAATAACAACAGATCTTTCCAAAGCATCAAAGAACAATTACACAGCTAGCTCATCTTCATCATCAACGTCATTATCGTCTTCTTCTTCTTCACAATTAACAGGTATGTAAGATTGAACAGAAGTACATAATAATTTTAATTATCAAGCATGATAAGTCAACACGGAAGAGTAAATCGGTATTTTTGGACATATCTCTGACACTTGTTTCGCCGAGGAAATTATGATTAGATCCGCATACAAGTTACCACCTCCAAATCTGCATATTTATAGAGAAAATCATACGATTAAATAAAATTCGGCTCCATAGAAAAATATGATTTGAGGTCGGCCATGGCAATAGCCACTTACCATGGTAGGTCCGGCAACTAAGCCTAAAAAACTTGTTGAGCCGTCCAGGTATCATCAAGGCTCCGGTCTAATACAGTCGGGACCCTAACTGCGAGCTGTAGAACACTGGCACGGTGACACCGCAGCCTTAGGGAGGTCACTTTGGAAGGTAGTGACCTAAAACCTTTGAAGGCGCCATTCTCGCCTCGTCAGTCCTGGGATAATAGGCACTTGGTCATTTCCTCCGAGACTTTCCCCTCTCCAGGAACCGTTGATTGTCCGCGGCTGTTTATATGATATTCACATCTTACTTACTTACTTAGCTGGCTTATGACAACGGTTTTTTTTCCATAAGTCGAGCTTAAAAAAGTTTTTCAGAAGACCATTTTCTGAGAAATTGTCTTCTACTTGATTTTTCCATCGGATTCGTGGCCTTCCCCTTGGCTAGCTTTTATATGCCTTTAGAGCTGGGGCATTCTCATTCATTCTCACAAGATGGCCTAGTCAACGTAGTTGCTGCAACTCGATGGCGATATTCACCATCGACGCAGATCGGCCCATAGATCTTTGGGAGAATTTTCCTCTCAAACACTCCATGAACTGCCTCATCCGCTTGCGCAAGTACCCATGCTCAGATCCATACAACGGGTAATATCAGCGTCTTGTAGAGTGTGAGTTTGGTCTGGCGAGAGGTGGCCTTGCTTTTGAGTTGCTTATTCAGACCATAGTAGCATCTGCCAACACTATTCTACTCCGGATTTCAAAGCTGATGTTATTAGTTTTGTTTATGGCGGTACCGAGGTATATAAAATCGTTCACTACCTCGAAGCTGTAGTTTTCAAGTTCCACAGTTGGTCCGAGTCTACTGAACGTCTTGCGCGTCAATACCATCAGCTTGGTCTTTTTGCAATTTACTGCTTGTTCCACTTTGGCAGACTCCTCAATTTGTTCAAAGGTGACTGCTACCGCTCGCAATATTCGACCCATTATGTCGATGTTGAGTAACTTATGCTGTTTGGGGTACATATTGCCATTTATGTTCACATTTGCATCTCGTATGACCTTTTCCAGCAGGATGTTGAACAGGTCAGACGAAGTGCTCCGATAGGACCTTTCCTACTTTAACTACTGACATTGTACCAGTTAAAGTGATACTGCATAGCCGTATTAATTTTGCAGGAATGCCAAACACAGACATGGCTTTAAACACCTCTGAACGAACAGGGCTGTCGAATGCGACTTTATAGTCGACGAATAGGCGGAATGTGTCGATGTGTTTTTCGTGGATTTTTTTCCAGGATCTGGCGTAGAGTGAAAATCTGGTCAATGGTGGATTTGCCAGGCCTGAAGCCGCATTGGTATGGTCCAATAATGTCATTGGCCATTGGCTTCAGTCGTTTACACAGCACGCTAGATAGCACTTTATATGCGATGGGAAGGAGACTAATTTCTCTATAGTTGGCACAAATCGTCTTGTCTCCTTTTTTGTGCACGGGACACTGGACGCTGAGGATAAAATCATTGGGCATGCATTCCTCTAGCCAAATTGTACAAATAAGCTGGTGCATGCTCCTGACCAGGATCTAACCACCCCACCGGTCATGAATAGTTCGGCTGGTAATCCATATATTGTTCTTCAGTCGGCTAGCTGGTACACACTCTATACCGTCATCTCGTATTTGTTATGGGGTATCTTCTTCACCACCCCTATTTGATAACAAAAGCTTTTCAAAATGCTCCTTCCAGATCCTCAACACGATGTCTGTATCTGTCACCATCTCTACAGGAGGATGTGCCTGCGCCAAAGCCTTCGGTTTGTTGTTTTACGCGTTGGAAACAATTTCCGGACTTCATTCTGACTCCTCCTGTACATCTCGATTTGCTCACACTCACTTTTTTCTTGTTCTTTTTTTTTCTGAAAATACGTTTCTTTTCTCCTGATAATTCTCCAACGCATTACGTGTTGCTACTGTCTGCAGGGTGTCCTATACGCTGCGTTTTTCACATCAGTAGCATTACGACACACTTGATCGTACCACGTGTTTCTTGATTGTGGTCTTTGGTACCCAAGTATTGCTTTTGCTGCAGTTTGTAGGGAGTGGGCAATTCTCTGCCATTATGCCTTTAAAATCTCCTAGCAGAATTTTAATGTCATGGGCAGGGCAGCGGTCATATGCTGTTTCTAGGCGCTCGTAAAATATGTCTTTGGCCTGTTTATCTTTATCTTCGGCCGGAGCACGGGCGCAAACAAGAATGATGTAGAAGAACTTCGCTTTTATGCGGATTATAGCAATTCGCTCATCTACTGGAATGAATCTGGAGACGAGGTCTTTTATTCTCCTGTTAATCATAAATCCGCAGACAAATTCATGTCTCGTTTCATGGCAGCTATAATACAGGGCGAAATCATCTGATTTACTTACGCCAGTCCCTTTCCATCGCATTTCCTGTAAGGCAATAATATCGGATTTGTACTTCTTGACAACGTGCGCACATTCCAAGTGCAGATTCGTTGGTCGTGGTCCCTTTATACGTTTGCGGGGGTCGTCAACATTAAGGGGGGTTTGGTTTTCTTTTTCTTTGCTTTTTCATAGTAGGTTGGGTTTTCCGAGTGTGGGCAACTAACCCGACGCCTCAACCCATTTTTTATAGTTCTTATGAGTGAACTCGCGGCACATATCAGCTCACTATTTCAACGGGGATGAAAATAGCTACCCCAGGTGGCACCGAAATATATATGGGAGTTATATCTAAATCTAAACAGATTTTTCCCAATTTTAATAGGGTTCGTCCTTGGAATAAATGAGTATTTCATCTAAATCAGATCATAAATGCAAAATGTACGGTGTTTACAATTTAACATGGACAGACAGACGGACGAACGGACATGCATAAATCGACTCAGAAAGTGATTCTACGCACATTCTCAAAAGGAATCATGGGTGTATTTTGTTCTGTGTCCTGTTACAAACATATGCACAAAGACATAATACCCTGTACCCTGAACGTAAAAGAAAATTGGTTTTAGACCCCATGTTTCTTTGGACCAAATCTGTTTCAGAAAATTTGGAGTCGATTTAGACATGTCCGTCTGTCCGTTGTCCGTCTGTCTGTCTGGCTGGTGCGCAGGATAACTCTCGAAGGGAATAATCGATTTCATCCAAACTTTGCATATCTTAATATTTCTTTCAAACTTAGTTTGAGTTCGAAGATGGGGAATATCGGTCCACTCCTTCTGCTACCTTCGCCACAAAATGGTGAAAATTGTGCTAAAAATTAATTTTATAATTACATGCAAACAGACTATCCGATTTTAACGAAACTTTGTACACACTATTATCTTTACCCAGCTTAGACCTCCCCCACAGAGGGTTAAAATTTTCAATATTTATAAAGTCAATATCAGGCTAATTCTATGTCCGATTTTAACCAAACTTTGCACAACCTATAACCTTAACAAGCCTAGATTAAGTTTGACCAACGGGTCCCAATCCACTCCTGCTGGTACCTCCCCCACGAGTGATCGAAATGTTCAGTATTTATAATTCCAATATCAGGCGATTGAAATGTCCCATTTGAACCAAACTTTGCAGAACCTATTATCTTTACCAAGCCCAGATAAAGTCTGAAGATAGGATCCATTGATCCACTCCTTCTGGTACCTCCCCACAAAAGGTCGAAATTTTGAATATTTATAAATCAACTATCAGGTGAATGGAATGTCCGATTTGAATTATACTTTGTACAATCTATTATCTTTACCAATGCCAGATCAGGTCTGAAGATGGGACCAATTGGTCCACTCCTTTTGGTACCTCCCACACAAATGGTATACATTTTCAACAAATGCCCGATTTGAACCTAATTTGGCACAACCTTTTATCTTATATAAAACGAATAATGAAACATGTGTATAACTCCGAAGACCTCCTTCACAAACCATATGGTGGGGGTATATATCTGTCGGTAACACCGACTGACACTTTTTTACTTGTTTTAAATTCAGAATAATTTTATATTTCGTTCGATTTATTTTTTATTTTTTCTTTACAGATGTACCCTTAAATTTATCCAAGCATTGAATGTGACTGGAAGCATTCACTCCCACACATATTTTCCCTTCCCTTTTGACAACACAGCATTAATACGACTAGGAAAGAAAGAATATGTAAGTGCTTAAGTTTATATACATTCATTATTATTTTTTAATTTAATTTCAAGTATACACTCTTTAACAAGAGAGAAAGTTAAGCGAGAGATTAAGTAGTTTATTTTACATTTTCACATTCAAGGACTTGCTCTGTATACATAAAAAAAATTATTTCATAAAACGATTCATGCATTTAGCTGCAGACTCAAAATAATAATGATAATAGTAATAATCCAAAAAATAAAAACAAACTATTAACATGCAACGCAAATAACAAAGATATATGAAAAAATTGTATAAGTTAAAATGTATTATTAAAAAAAACAAAAAGAAAGAAAGAAACGCGAAATAAATCTAGAAGAAAAAGAAAACTAATTAAATAAAATGAGAGTATATACAACAAATATATATATCAAAATCAATTACATATATAATATGTAAACATGTACAAGAGTTTACATAATTGCAAAAAAATGTATTTTTGTTTTAAAGAAAAGATTATATTATAATAAAAGACTAAACATTTTTTTGCGTTGAAGTTTTGTTTTCTTTTTCTTTTATCAATTTTTTTTAGTAAGTAACAAAAAGATTCCTTGATGACATTATTTTTGCAAACAATACAAAAAGAAAAA